AACAAGAGAGGGCTGGCATTAGGGACGAGAAAGAGTATTCGGGGTCAGTTTGAGGGAGGTGGGAAGGGGTTTGGGGGAGACAGATGATGGGGGAAGTTTGGGGGAGCCAAGGGAGGAGATTGGGAAGGCGGGGGCGGGGTAGGAAGTGGGGGCTAGTTTGAGGGACCCGGGAGAGGGGCCCGCGGATGGGTGAGTGAAGGAGGGCGTGGGAAACTGGACGTTTAGGGGATTCAGAAATCACAGGGGACTGGTGTGAGGGCAGGGAGTTTGGGTAGAGGACATATTTCCAGGCTCGGGGAAAGAGGTGAAATTTAGGGAGGACAAGATGTGAGGGTAGAGAGTTTGGGGGAGATAGGGATTCTTGAGGAGAAGGAGGAGGCTTAAACGGGCCGGAAACAAGGGTGAATCAGAGGAGAGGGTGCCCTTGCCACTTCCAGGCTCCTGGCGGGAGGGCCTCTCCCCGCCCATTGTCCCCAGCCTGGCCAGGACGTCCGGCGACATCCCTGGGGACGCGACGTCGGGGGTTATGTAACAGTGCCAGGCCCCGGGGAGCGGCGGAAGTTAGGACTCCCGGGTTCCTCTCCACGCCCCATCCCAAGGGAGCGGCACGGGTTGGGATCCCAGAGCGGCTTGTGACATCACACTTGGGTGGAGTCCATCAGAGGCACGAACTCCTTTTTTTGCTCACCCCCACCCCACTCGGGAGCGAGGACTGAGATCTGAGACCCTAGGTGGGGAGGGGTATCCCTAGTAACGCCATTGGCTGAGGTGGCCTGATGGCCAGGGCTGTTAGGCAAAAAGATAAACTGAGTCCCAGAGAGTGCTGACCCCTTTCATTTGATTCAGTCATTCAACAAAGATGTATTGAGCCCCTACTGTGTGCCAGTTATGTCCTAGGTGATGGGGACCCAGCAGCAAACAAAACAGATGTCCCTGATCTCAGCAGCCTCTGGGCTGCCCCCTGATTCTGAGCCCAGACCTACTCCATCCCAGCCAAACGTTGTTGAAACTAGACCTTCTTCACTAAACAGAACACCAAAACGTGGATCCTCTCACCCAACTTTCCCTAGTGCAGGGGGCAGAACACATCTCTCAGCTGCTGAGTCCCTGGTCTCTAAATGACTGCATCCCTGTCACCCCCACCCCCTGTGGCCTGTCACTTCCTCCCATCCTCATCCCCCTCATGGGGCATGACTAGAGATGCTGGTCATAACAGGCAGGTGGCGAATCACTCAGACGTCATAACAGCCGGCTGTGCTATCACCGTGTCCCTGAGATGTCATCAAGCAGCCTCAGTCTCTTCCTATGAACACCTCTGGGGCCTGAGGAGAGGGTTCTGCCCTGCTGCCAGGGGTACCTCAGCCTCCCAAATGGAGTGACTTACTTCCACCTAAGCCCTTCATCAGAAGGCTCTGGAAGGTACCTTCCTAGCTTTCCTCACTCCTCCTCCAGGCAGCCCCCTTGAACTCCCTGCCACTCCCCTCCAGTTCCCTGGGCTCTGGCCCTTTGGACTTTTTCCTCTCTGATCTCACCTGCTCCCATACCTTCAGTTTTGAAAAACCTTCAAAGCCAGGCCCTTGATAGGACACATCCCTGCATTTCTCTAAGCTTCAGGCTTCACTTCTCTAAAATGGGTATAGCAATGGTGCCTGGCCAACACACTGGGTGGTGAGTGATTTGAGCAAGGTCATTTCTGTGACGTGCTTAGCACAGGCTGGGGACATCGTGAGAGCTCAATGAATCCTACTGGCCAAGGTACACAAGAAATAGTTAACAGTGAGAAGTGGGGATCAGAGGAAGGAAGAGAATTTACTTTGTCAAGGTATACTCTTGTATTTGCCAATACATGTTCCCCCGATTTTTAAAAAATTTAATTAATTAATTTTTGGCTGCTTTGGGTCTTCATTGCTGCACACCAGCTCTCTCTACTTGAGAGAGAGCCCTGTTCCAGTGCACGGGCTTCTCATTGCACTGGCTTCTCTCTTTGGGGAGCACAGACTCTAGCTGCACAGGCTTCAGTAGTTGTAGCACAAGAGATTACTTGCTCTGCAAAGAGTCGGATCTTCCCAGATCAGGGCTCGAACCCCTGTCCCCTGCATTGGCAGGCGGATTCTTAACCACTGCACCACCAGGGGAGCCCTTCACTGACTTTCAAATCTGTTCTCTCCTCCTCTTTCCCCTCCTCCCACTCCTACCTAGGTCCAGGCCCCTCCTTTCCCCCTCCCTTCCTCAGTCTACCTCAAGGAAGCAGTCAGAAAGGTCTTAAAACCTTCCTCTGTCCCTCCCCTGCTCAGAACCTGCCATGGCTCCCCAGTGCCCTTGGGGGAGCTCCTCACTGTGTGTCCAGGCTCCTCACCATGGCCCAGACTCCTCACCATGGCCCATGGGGCCCATTTCTGTCTGGTCCTTGCTGACTTTTCCAGCCTCCTAATTCTTTCATCCAACTACATGATTCTTCTTGCCTTAAAGGATCCTCCAGCTCAGTCCCTTTGCCTGGCAGTCGAGCCCCATCCAGACAACATAACAGTTGGACACCTGGCTAAAGCTTGGTGTCCACTAGGGACAGGGACACCACTTGAGGCTGCCTTCCATTCACAGCCAAAGAGTTCTGCCTGAATTTTCACCGAAGCAACATCTGTGTACTACACTGTGCTCCCTGGGTTCACACAGGTCAGGGCAGTTTCTGTCCTGTGATATTTCAGAGACTAGAAGGATGCAGACTTTGAATCTCAGGTAAATGCGGTATAAGACCCTTGAGGCTGATTCTTGGAGTGGGCACTGAAAGAGTCACAGGATATCAGAGTGGGAAGGTGCCCTAGAAGATCCAAGTGCAAGGGGGAGACCTAGGCCCAGAGGGAGCAGGGTTCCTGGCTGTTCCCACTGCCTGGAGCTGTCGTGTCCCATCACTGACTTGCAAGAGAGGGAAGAATCATAGTAGAATTGGGTTTGTTGAACTAAACAGTGGGTGCCAGGCTGAGCCCTGACTCTGGTGACCCCAACCTTGGTGACAGCAGACCTGCGTCTGACCCCAGTCTGAGCCCCAACCCTGGCCCAGGCCTGAATCCCTGATCCTGGGCACAGTATGAGCCCTGAAACTGGCTAAGACCCAGAACTAAGCCCACTCAATCCACTGTAGAAACTAAGCAAGAAGTCAGAGCCTCATCCCCAGCCCTCTGCTTGCTGGTCTGGTGTGACTTCCTGTGACCTCCCCATCCTCCCCCCCCATAGAAGTGGAGCTGAGAACTGGAAGGGGGGGCGGATTCAGAGAGGCGCAAGATTCGTGCTGTGGCTGGGGAGGGAGAATAGGGACAGGACTTCGGGAAGAGTAGGTTGAGGACTCGGGGAGGGGGCGGCAGGGCTAGGAGTGAAGATTAGGATAGGGAAGGGGGAGGTAGATAATGGTCAGGGATGAAGAATGGAGGAGAAGCAGAGGATGCGGGAGACCAGGAGACAGGGGATCGGGGGGATGGAGGATTGGGGGTGCTGATTCGAGGCTGGTGACAGGTTGGGGTCAATGCGGCGACGGCGGGGGCCGATCGTCCGGCCGGGGCTGCGCGGCGAGGCCCAGTTGAGCCCAGGCCCACCCCCAGCCCCCCCCGCCCCACGCTGCCTCCCCCTTCCGCTCCCCGGAAGCGCTGAGTCGTACTGCCTTATCTGGAGGCCGCTATTTCGGGCTCAGCTCCTAGCGCGAGGACTATTTTTAGCGGCGCTCGGGTAAAAATGGACGCGGCGCCGCGCGAGTTCCAGAGGCCGTGCGCGCTCCCTCGCGAGAACTGGGGGCCGGGGCCGCGCGCCTGAGTCACCTCCCGCCCAACCGCCCCCCTTCGAGGAGCGCGGACACCCCCTCCCCCGCCCCCATCCGCACGAACTCTTGGGTTCCTGGACGCCTGGAAGCCAGCGCGGCTCAGAATATTCCAGGACTATCGGGACGCATCCAACCGGGCTGCATCCAACCGGGCTGCATCCAACCGGGCTCAAGCGGCTGAGCGCCGACTTTTGGGCAGAGGCGCTGCGCCCTCTGGTGGCTCCTGCGGGGATAGCAGGCAGGGGCCGGGCCAAGGGTTCACACACCCCCAGACCCCCAACCTCCGCCACACACCCATTTTATAAATGAGGAAACTGAGGCCTGGAGAGGAACTGGATTGCATCATGAATTGCAAGGTACGCTCTTTCAGTTTCAGCTTGGACACTTCCCTTAATGGAGAACCCAGTACCTATCAGAAAACTAGGCACTCTTTTTATAAGCAGTATTTATCTAGTCATTCAGCAAGTATTTATCAAGGGCTTGCTGGGTGCTGGGAACACAGCGGTGAACAAGGCAGAAGAGAGATCCTTGCCCTCGTGGGGCTGACGTTCTAATGGGGGAGACAAACAGTAAATAAATAAGGTGATTTCAGATTGTGGGTAAGCCCTGTAAGGAAAATAAAATGGGAGGATAGATTATAATAAAGGGGATACTTTGGTAAGAGTAGTCAGGGAAGGCCTTCTTCTGAGGAGGTGACATTCTAAAATGACCTTCTGGTTTCATGCAGTCCCCTCACTCATCCCATTTCATAGACCTGGAGACAGAAGCCTGGAGAAGAACCAGTTGGGGACTGAGCTTGTACGGTGTAGATTACATGAGCTTTCACTGCGTAAATTGTTCAGTCCCAGTTTGGTCTCCTCCTGAGCCTGGGAGCTCATTTCTCCCAGCGTAGCCACTCATCATCAGTAGTAGTGATACTTTTTAAATAATAGCTACCTTTCATCCAGCACCTGCTCTTTACCCAGCAGTCTACTAAATGTCTCACCTGCGTTAATTCATGGAACCCTCACCCTAATCCGTAGAGGTGAGGTACTATTCCCACGCCCCATTAACGTATGAGAAGATCTGTTTTCCAACCTTCCTTTCCTCCCAGCCACATGGGCATCTACAGTTTTGCTGGCCTTCTTCTTGTTCTTTGGGAAACCACCCCTTTCTCAATTTCAGTTCACCTGGCTGTCTTGGGGCTCACCCCATCCTCCGTTTCCAGGGAATGGCACGTGTCCTAGGCCCAGCCAATCACAGTATTCCAGTGGGACTGTCCGTTGACGACAGTGATTGGTTCGGAGGTGAGCATGTGACCCATTTAGGACAACGAATGATGGGACCGTTGGCTAGGAGCACTTTCTTCCCTTTGGGGTGGCTAAGAGGATGAGATGTGAGCCTAAAGCTGCTAGGGCTATCTTTGCTACCTCAAGGAAAGTCTTTCTGAGGAAAAAAAATCAGAGAAATATGAAACCCAGAGATGGGACAGTGACTTCATATCATCATTTGAGCTCCTGGATCAAGCTGTAACTGAAGCTGGTTTACTCAACCTTCTGATCATGTGAGCCAATACATTTCCTTAAACTAGTTTGCATTTGAAACTGAGAGACTCCCAGTTAATTCGCTTTCCCTCTCTATGCCCCCCCCACCAGGAACTGGTCCTGACACTTTCCACTGCCCCTAGTCCTTGGGAATGGATCACTGTACCCCCTGAAGTACCCATTCATTACACACTGCCCCCAGGGAGGCACGTACTGCTTGTATACATCTGTGCCCTCTACCCCCCACTGGGCAGGCACTCCTGTGGGGACTTTGGGCCTGCTCATCTTCCTGTCCCCAGGTACAGACCAGGATGAGAACCTGATACCAAGGCTACTGTCCCGGGCAGGACCACTTTCTGCTGTCATCACTGGCTGATGGTGAAGTTACCCTACTGCACCTTCCACTTTCTCCCACTGTCAGGATTTCAGCCCTGTCTGAGCTCTGTCGGCCTCCCAGCCTCTGCTTCACCGTCTCTCCTGTGCTCCAGACCCATGTGTCTAGAAGCCTCTTGAATGCCTTCCTCCGGTTGTCCCACAGACTTTCACCCTGACCTCAACAGCTTCCTCCTACACCTGTGCCTCCTTCTCCCAGGTCCCCAGCTCAGGCGTAGTCCCACATAGACCCTGTCTCCTGGGCCAGAGTTCTAGGCCTCCTCCTGGTACCTTCCTCCCCTTACCTCCCATAACCCATCACTCATCTCCATTCTATCTTTTAAAGATTTTATATATTCTCCTTCCTCCCCCTCCTTACTCTGGTCCAGTTGTCTATTTGGTCCCTTTTCCCCGCTTCATCCTTCATCTCTATACTCATCCCTGGTTTCCTGCCCCAGTTCTGCCCCTTCCCATCTAGAAGGATTTTGCTAAACCACAAACCTACTCCTGTCAGGTCTCTCCCCTGCTCAGAGCTTGCTACGATTCCCCAGTGCTCTAGTCCTGTGACCTACGAGGCCTTCCGTGGCCTGTTGCTTTATTCAACCCCATCTCTTGCCCCCCACCCCTTTCCCCAGCACACATTCACTCTGCCCTCTAACAATACTCAAACAGCTTGCCTTTCCCCAAATGCATTGTTCATGCCTCCCGACTTGAACATTCGGCTCCCTCTGCCCAAATACCTTTCCCATCCTTCTCCACCTAGTGACTGTTTTTCCATGCTTTGAGGTACAACATAGCTATCCCCTCCGCTGAGAAACCTAGCGTGACTCCCTCCGACCTAAGCAGGGCCCCCGCCTCTCAAGAAACCTGGTCGCTGCTGTAGCTCATTCTCTGCCTGACCACATGTCGGGCCCTGACCACATGTCGGGCCCTTTGCACGCAGGGTCTCACTGAGTTCCCCCAACAGCCCTCAGGGCACAGGGACAAACACTTCCAGTTTCTGGATGAAGAAACTGGGACTCATGGAAGGAATCACAGCTAGGGAGGGGACAGAGTCAGGATTTGAACTTGTGATCTCATGCAGCCTGGCTCATCCATGAGTACTTTATCTCTGTTTTGGAAGTTTTTATTTTATAACACTCTCAGTAGAGGCACACATGTATATAATTTATGAATAAAAAATATACTCCATATACCAAGTGGCCACAAAGTACTGCCTGGCACTGTGGTCTCTCTTGGTTAAGTAGCTTCTTCACCTGGGTCTGGTGGAGGCAGGGATTTGAGAGTGTTCTTTAAGGCCACATTTTTGACATAAGCATCAGTTGCTCTGTTTGAATATGCTTCTGACATGGATTGTTCCAGAACATCCCAAGAAATCCCGAGGCTCAGCGGCCCCGGAACAAATGGCACTCCAGCATCTGATGTCCTCCCAGATGGAGAGACAGCAAATTCCATGGGCCAGCACTGTTCACAAGAAATAGGACACTAGCCACATATTCAAGCTTAAATGCCGTAGTAGCCACACTAAAAAAAGCCAAAAGAAACAGGTGAAAATAATTTGTTCCTGTATTTTATTTAACCAGATAGATGCAAAATATTATTTCATACGTACTCAATGTCAGCAGTTTTTTCCTTTATAAATTTATTTATGTATGGCTGCGTTGGGTCTTTGTTGTGGTGCGCGGGCTTCTTATTGCGGTGGCTTCTCTTGTTGCAGAGCACGGGCTCTTAGCACGCGGGCTTCAGTAGTTGTGGCTCATGGGCTCTAGAGCGCAGGCTCAGTAGTTGTGGCGCACGGGCTTAGTTCCTCCGCGGCATGTGGGATCTTCCCGGACCAGGGCTCGAACCCATGTCCCCTGCGTTGGCAGGCAGATTCTTAACCACTGCTCCACCAGGGAAGTCCCTCAGCAGTTTTTAAAATGAGATAGTTACATTCTTTTTAATCACGCTAAGTCTATGAAATCTGGTGTGGATTTTACACTCATGACACATCTCATTTTGGACCAGCCATGTTTCAAGTGCTTAAAAGCCACGTGTAGCCAAGTGGCTGCCATACTGGACATCACAGCAGTAGACGGTGCCTGACCACGGATCTGGGAATATGGCTTCCTCAAAGTCCAGCTTTAACATGGGACAGTGTGCCTCCAGGTGACAGCATGGCTTAAGGTCAAGATCCTAGACTCTGAAGCCAGACTGTGGGGTTCAAGCTCTGGAACTTCCAAACTGCCACTCCAGCCTCTCTGCACCTCAGTTTATTCCGCTATGAAAGGAGAATCACCAGCAAGACATCAGAGGGTTTTTTGTGAGGATTAAAGGAGTTAATAGATTTTTTTTTTTGCGGTACGCAGGCCTCTCACTGTTGTGGCCTCTCCCGTTGCGGAGCACAGGCTCCAGACGCGCAGGCTCAGCGGCCATGGCTCACGGGCCCAGCCGCTCCGCGGCATGTGGGATCTTCCCAGACCGGGGCACGAACCCGTGTCCCCTGCATCGGCAGGTGGACTCTCAACCACTGCGCCACCAGGGAAGCCCGAGTTAATAGATATTTAAACACGTAGAACAGGGCACATATTAAGTGCTGTATGGGTGTTGATTTTTATTATTATTTGGCATTTTGTGAAAGAGAAAATCTCTCGACTCCACATTAACAGTTGAAGAATGAAAAACTCCCTTAAAGACTTCCCATCCTGGGCTTCCCTGGTGGCGAAGTGGTTGAGAGTCCGCCTGCCGATGCAGGGGACACGGGTTCATGCCCCAGTCCGGGAAGATCCCACGTGCCGCGGAGCGACTGGGCCCCTGAGCCATGGCCGCTGAGCCTGCGCGTCCGGAGCCTGTGCTCCGCAACGAGAGAGGCCGCAGTGGTGAGGGGCCCGCGTACCGCAAAAAAAAAAAAGACTTCCCATCCTTGTGGAAGATGTCCAGAACATGGGGGACACACGGGACTTCTAACCGCCACAGGTAGGACGCACAGGCCACTCTGGGCTCTCAAGGGCAAATGCTTCAACATTCTCCACTGGAACGAGTGTGTGCAATCACAAAGCTTTGGACACCTCCCAGTCTAGACTCTGCCACGTGTTGTCCTGTTCTCATTCTTCTGTTTTGATCTGTGTAGTGGGTTGAATGGTGTGCCCTTCCCCCCACCCAAGATAAGTCCACCTGAGACCTGTCAACGGGAACTTATTTGGAAAAAGAGTCTCTGCGGATATAATTAAGGTTAGGATCTCGAGATGATATCACCCTGGATTATCCAAGTGGGCCCTAAACCCAATGGCAAGTGTCCTTACAAGAGCAAGGCAGAGGAAGATTGGACACAGATAGGAGAAGAGATGGCCATGTGAAGTTGGAGGGAGAGATGGGAGTGATGGGGCCACCCAGGAACACCTGTGGCCACCAGAGGCTGGAAAAGGCAAGGAAGAATCTTCCCCAAGAAAATTCAGAGGGAGTGTGGCCCTGCTGATACCTTGCTTTAGGATTTCTGGCCTCCAGAGCTGTGAGGGAATAAATTTCTGTTGTTTTAAACCACGAAGTTTGTGGTAGTTTGTTAGGCAGCCACAGGAAACAAATACAGTCTGTTTAGGGGCCTGTCTCCTTCCACCCTGAAGACAGAGTTTCTGTGGCTTTCAGCTTCTGTCTCACAGCAGGAAACAGGCTCAGAAAGAAGGCAGAGCCAGAACCAGAACTCAGGTCTCCAGAACCTCCTTCCAGATCCAGGGGGTCACTGTGGAAACTCGCAGGGTATTCTGCCTGTTAAAGAAATACAGGGTGTCTATTGAATTTTCTCTTAAGGCAGCGGTTGAAACACAAGTTTTTGTTGGAGTCCTGGTTTGTTTGCTTCCTTGCTTTGTGGCCTTGGTCGAGAGACTAACCTCTCTGTGCCTCAGTTTCTCCTCCTATAAATTAGGGATAACAAAATAAGATCTCAGAAGGCTGTGATATGGAGTATATGAGAATTGATCAACTTTGCCATTTGACGTTGTCCTGAAAGTCTTTGCAAATGCTATAAGACAAGAAAAATGAGATGTAAAGATGAGAAGGCAAGACATAAAACTAACATTTGGATCATTTCAAAGGAAAACTGAGAGAATCAACAAACTTTTTGTATGTTTTTGGCCACGCTGCCCGGCATGTGGGATCTTAGTTCCCTGACCAGGGATCGAACCCATGCCCCCTGCAGTGGAAGCGCAGAGTCCTAACCACTGGACTGCCAGGGAAGCCCCTCAACAGAATATTTTATTTTATTTTTATTATTTACTTTTAAAAAATATTTTATTTAATTAATTTTTTTAAACTTTAGCCATCCTAATGGATGTGAAGTAGTATCTCATTATAGGTTTTTTAAAAAAATTAATTTATTTTTTGGCTGCATTGGGTCTTTGTTGCTGTACGCAAGCTTTCTCTAGTTGCAGTGAGTGGGGGCTACTCTTTGTTGCGGTGCGCGGGCTTCTCATTGCAGTGGCTTCTCTTGTTGTGGAGCACAGGCTCTAGGTGCGCGGGCTTCAGTAGTTGTGGCACGTGGGCTCAGTAGTTGTGCTACATGGGCTTAGTTGCTGCCTGGCATGTGGGATCTTCCCGGACCAGGGCTCGAACGAACCCATGTCCCCTGCACTGGCAAGCGGATTCTTAACCACTGTGCCACCAGGGAAGTCCCCCACTTTAATGTTTGGCTCAACAGAAGATAACTGGGTCTTCACCTCTGCTTGGGTGCTCAGTCTGTTGTGATATTTTGCAGGTTGCATTGAACACTCAGGAGAGACTGAGAGTGAAAAAAGGGAGGTAAGTGTCTTAGTATTATCATGATAATCATTTTGACCTTGGGGACCTCTTGAAAGAGTGCTGGGGAACCCCCCAAGGTTCTGTGGACTGCACTTTAAGAATCACTCCTTACCTTTGGGTTCTATAGGGCCTAGAGACAGTATCTGGGGAACTGAACACCTCTGGGGCCATGGGACCTGGTTCAAGAGACAGCTCTGACTACAAGCAAGGTATTCTCTGAGTCTCAGTTTCGTCATCTCTAACATGGGGTTGGTGATGATGAAAATAATAAAAGTACCTCCCTCCTAAGGTTGTAGTGAGACCCATGGGAGATAACTCTCTGACTCACACCTGGCATGTAGCATACAATAAACATTTGCTATTATAGTTTGGGAAACGTCATTTTATTTTATTACCAACACTTCTTATGCACGCAGTTAACTTCTCCAGAGCCCTATCTTGTGCTGGGCAGTGCTGGGGACATGGTGATGAATGAGAGGGGCCTGGCCCTGCCCTCATGGGGTTCCCAGTCCAATGGGTCACAGAGTTTTCATTTGTGAGGCATTGCCTTTAGCACCAGGTCCCTGAGGAGCATGAGTTCTTAAGGCTGGGGAGGCAGGGAAAGGCATTCTAGGGAGTGGGAACAGCATGCAAGGAGCCATGGCAAGTGGAGAGGGGGACAGCTGTGGCCTGATGGTTGGCCGGTTGTGTCCATTTCTCTGCCCCCAAGATGCCTCAGTCCTGTTGCTGGTGAGAAATACGTGTGTATATCTGGTTCATCTTTTTAATATTTATTTATTTGGCTGCATCGGGTCTTAGTTGCGACACGCTGGAATCTTCTTTGCAGCATGAGAACTCTTAGTTGCGGCATGTGCGATCTAGTTCCCTGACCAGGGATCAAACCCGGGACCCCTGCATTGGGAGCGCAGAGTCTTAGCCACTGGACCACCAGGGAAGTCCCCCAACCCCTCTTCTTCTGTAAAGTTATTTCCTCAATTCTGGGCTCTTTTTAGGGAAGTCCCACCTCTGATCTAACTTCAGTCTCTCATGCTGCAGATCCTCCTTTTGCTGCATATCCATCCACAGTGCCCCGTGGAAACTTGGGACGTCCCAGCAGAAGAGATGCCCGGGATGGGGCGGGGTCGGGTCCAGCGCCTCCACTGTCCCCCATCCGGGGGCCGCCGCTTGGGGCCGGGTGAGTCAGCCCCCGGCGGCTCCCGCGTCATCCTGGCCGCTAGGCTTCGCGCTATTTCGGGCTCCAGGCGCTATAAATAGAGGCTCGCGGAGCAGAGCCGTTCCCCCTCCGCTCGGGCGCCCCTGCGTCCCCTGGACCCGCCGCGATCGCCGGGCCGCGCGTCACCGCGGCTAAGTTTAGAGGCGGGTGGGGACGTCGGCCGGGTCACTGCGCCCCTCGGCCGCGCCCCCGCTAACAGAGCCTTCGGTCCGGCGGCAATATGCCCCCCGCCCAGAGTCACTCGGGTGGAATTAGGGGCGAAGTGTGCCCATATTCTCCATCCCCACCCCAATCCTTCGGAGGCGCAGAGGAAACTCGAAGTTGGGATTAGGGGAAGGTTTGGGAGTGGAGCAAGGTCTGAACTCGAGGAGTCGCCCGGGAGCTTCGGTTGGGACTGGAATTTGAACTTGGAGCGTTTGGAAGAAGGACGGGGAAATAAGAGTACGGACAGCTGTTAGACTCGAACTCGCAACTCTGGGAGCCGGAAAGATGCGAATCCCGAATCTGAAAGTTAAATTTGGGAAGAGTGTAGGAATCAAACTTGGAAATATAATATATTACAGAGCCGAGGACAACTTTTCTCCCCCTTAACTAACGTAAATAGACTCAGAGTTACCTGAACCGCGCTCAGCGGGCCCTTTGCCGCATTTCTGCGATAGTGAAACGAGTCGGGAGAAACGAAAGGGCAGCCCGCCGCCTTCTCACGGGTCTTGCCCCGGGGTGGGTTCTGGCGCAGCGGTCCCCGGCGCCTCTACACCCCAAATCCTCTTGTGGGGCGCCATCGCCCCCTGGCGGAAAAGGCACGCTTTGCAGGTTTATTTGGTAATTCCCATTCCCCAACGGGAGAAACTGAGTCCCACCCAGACTGGCTTCCTTCTAGAAGCTCTCTCTGCCCTTGGATTCAGAGACACATTTTCATAGTCCTTCTCTATGTCACTGGGGCCTCAGTTCCTTCATCTGTCAAATGAACTATTGATACCTAAGGGGACGGTTACTGTGAGGATTTAGCTCATAGTAAGCTATCTATCTGCTTTGATGGGTATATAGTTGATGGTAATATATGTATTTTTTTATTTATAGAGCCCCTCTCCCTGTGACCGTGTGGCCCCCTCCCCCATAATCTACTTCACGTCACTGTTTTTTTATCGTCTCCAGAGCATGTATGACTGTCTGGAACTCTTATCTGTGGGCTTCTTTCTTATGGTCTGCCTCCCATGAGACTGTCAGCACCACAGGGCAGGGAGCTGGTGCAATTTTCTGCCAGCTGTGTCCCCAGTGCCTGCCACACCGTAGGTGCTCAATATGTAGTTATTCAAGGAATGAGTGAACCATGGATTTCAAGACGGGGCTCCATGGTCTTATGGAATTCTCACAAGCTCAGCAGTTACAGATGGGAAAACTGAGGCTCCCAGTGGTGAAGTCGCTTGCTGGAGGATTCTGCTTCTGTTCTTTGTTCATTCATACAACATATGGTTCCGTAGCCCCTTCTTGTTTCTGGGCACTGTGCTACAGCGGTGGCCACAACAGCTTCAGCCTCTGCTTGCCCAGGACTTAGTCAAGGACTATTTTATTTTTATGACAAACCTGAATATTTCACCTACTGCCTGCCAAGTAAAGATGTAGGGACTTTACACGTAACTCATTTCATCTTCCTAATAGTTATGCTATTGTTATCCCCATTTTAGAGATGAGCAAACTGACGCACACAGAGAAACTGAGTTGCTGGCACCAGGTCACACTGCTAGTAAGTGACCCTGGGGAAAAATTACACCCAGTGATGAGACTGCTTATGAAGGAAGGAGAATCAGGGAGATGGTAGACTTCCCATTAGTGACCCAGATGGAGCACCAGTGTCTTCTAACTTTGCAAGAAAGATAACTAGGAACCCAGAATTTGAGATTCCATTTGTGAGGGTCAAATAAAGACATTTTCAGATGAGCAAGACTCAGAAATTTTCTACCCAGAATGTTCTCTGAAAAAGTTAGAAGAGAATGTACTCTAGCAAGAAGTAAAAATGGATTCGGAAGGAAGAAGTTTATAAAAAGTAACAGAAAATTGTTAAGGGTTGACTCGTGTCCCCCCAAAAGATATGTTGAGTCCTAACCCCCATTACTTCAGAATGTGACTTTATTTTGAAATAAGGTCTTTACAGAGACAAGTTAAAATGAGGTCATTATGGTGGTCCCTAATCCAATATGACTGGCGTCCTTGTAAAATGGGGAAATTTGGACACAGAGACGGACATGCACAGAGGAAAGACAGTGTGAAGACACACGGAGAGAAGATGGCCATCCACAAGCCAAGGAATGCCTGAGGCTACCAGAAGCTAAGAGAGGGGGCTGGAACAGATCCTCCCTAGTGCATTCAGAGGGCGCATTGCTCTGTCAATACCTTGATTTTGGACTTCTAGCCTCCAGAACTGTGAGAATAACTTTCTGTGGTTTAAGCCACTCAATTTTTGGTACTTCTTTACAGCAGCCCTAGGAAACTAATACCATGAACCAATTATATAAATAAAAATTAATTAGAAAACAACCTTTTACAGTAGGTCCCTAACAAAAGGCAAAATCAATGGAGAGACAGAGACAATATGTTCATGGGTATGAAAAAGATGTCAATCTTCTTGTAATTAATCCATCAATTCAGTGCAATTCCAATCTCAATCTCAATAGGATCTTTCAGGGAACTAGAAAAGCAGCTGCTAAAATCCATCTAGAAGAGAAAATGGACAAGAATGGTAAAGACAGATTTGAAACTGAACAGAGGTGGGGGACTTGCCTCATGTGATATCAAAACATATCTAAATGAAATAATTAAACTGGCATGGAGGCAAGGGACAGATACAGAGATCAATGAAACATAATAGAAATGTCAGAGATAGACCTGTGTATACATGGGAATTTGGCACATGATAAAGGCGGAATACCAAAACCAGGGAAAGGACTGGCTTTTTTTTTTTTTGCCCAGCTGCATGACTTGAGGGGTCTTATTTCCCTGATCAGGGATGGAACCCCGGCCCCAGCAGTGAAAACACTGAGTTCTAACCACTGGACCTCCAGGGAATTCCCAGGACTGGCTTTTGAAATAAATAGTATCCGGACAATTAGCTATATCCACCATAAATTCCTACCTTAGTACATTTTCAAAAATAAGTCTCATATGGATGAAAGAAACAAAATCAAAACTAGGAAAAGTATTAAAAGAAATGATAAACTATATTTATGACCTTGGGGTATGGCAAGCCTCTTAAACACACCAAAAGTCAGGATAGATTGATAAATAGGTGTGAATAAACACTAAGAACTTCTGTGTGAGAAAAATAAATAAATAAAGTTAAAATATAAAGTGCAAACTAGCAGGAAATATTTGGAATACGTGTAACTGACTAACAATTAGAATTGGAATCCATAAAGTACTCTGACACATTAACAGTAATAAAAAAGGCATACAACCATTGAAAAAATGGTCAAAGGATATGGGCAAGCAACCCACAGAAAACAAACTATTAAAGACCAATAAACTCACAGAAAGATGTTCTCTCCTTAGTAATCAGAGAGTTGCAAGTTAGAACAGTGTGATGCTATCCTTTCAGGAAATGACTAATATTTACTCATCAACCAGGTCTCCGCTCAGATGTCCCTTTCTCTAAGAAGCTCTTTCCTGGCCCTCGGGCTGGATTAGGTGTTCCCTGCCCCACCCCCCTCCCGGGCCCTCTGGGGTCTCCTAGCCAGCCCTGTCCACTCTGGATCGTCACTGTTTGGGAAAGGGTTTGTCTCTCCCAATGCATTGTGAGCCCCAGAAGGGCGGAGCGGGGCTATCGTTATCTGGGGCAATGTATGTGGAATAAGAGAATGAGTGAATGGGGAAACTGAGGCTAAGTCAATGACAGAGCTGGAATTCAAACCCAAGTCTGTACTGAGAGAAGGAACCTAGTTTGATTACCCGCCATCCCTTCTCCCCTAAGACCTGCCCAGAGCCCAGGCACACAAGAGGAGCTCAATAAGAGCACTGAAATCAAACTGCTCGGCAACGGGAGACGCTGAGGGCCAGAGGCGGACAGCTCTCTCCAAACCCAGACCTCCGCAGTCCTCCAGAACCATAGAGAGCTGCGCGAGGAACCGCCTCTCTCGATGCTCTACGCCTTTGGGGAACGTCAGGAGCGGGCTGGAGGGCTAGAGAGGCCGGAAGTGCGATCAGCCTGGGGCTACGCTGGCCGCGCCGGCGGTGGGACGCCTCGGTCTCTCTCCTGTCTTTCCTTCGCGGCGCGGGGGCGAGGAGGTGAGCTCTCGGGACGCTGAGACCGCGGGGCTGGGTTGAGAGGGGCGTGGGGTTGAGACCGCCGGTGGCGATTGGCAGATGCAGAAGCCAATCAATCGTTACAATGTCTGAGAGTTTGAGAAGGTGGAGCGAGGGAAAGGTATCCTGGTGCGAGCCTTGGGGGCGGGGTGGACGGAGGTTTGGGGACAGTGGTCTGGCCTGGCAGACAGAAGGCGGGGGACAGTGAAGGCGGGGAGAATAGAAAGGTGGGACCCTGAAGGGTGTGGCGAAAGGAAAGTGTGTCCCGGTAAGGGGCGGGGCGAGCCGCAGGTGGAGGCTCGATGGGGCGGGGCCTTATAGAACCTGGGGCCCTGGGTGTCTGGACCTGGACGCGATGGAGCCCCTGGAATTTTTGGGGGGGTACGGCTGTGTCTGGGGGTTCCTTCTGGGGAATGTCGATGCTTCGCTCGCGCCCGACGCCACGGCTTTATTTTCAGGCCCCAGAAGGACCTTGCGATGGACGAAGAGAGAGTGGAGAAGCCCGCTGGCCCACCCACAAGGAAGAAATTCCTCATTCCAGTGGACGAGGATGAGGTCCCTCCTCCCGGGGTAGGACTAGGAGATGGGGGGACTGCTGGGAGGCTTGGGGTGTGGTTGGGAGGAAGGGGGACAGGAAGGGGCCTGTGGGACCACAGTGTGGGTTAGGAAATGTTGGGGCCTGGGTCACTTTGAGAAGACAGTCTTTTGCCTTCTGCAAGTATCAGTTTCCTGTAAAAAGTAAAATGTCATGGTCAGGAGGGCTGAGGCAGCGGCTGCAAACTGGCAGCCAGGAAGTAGTCCTGAGATACGTTTACGTGGCCAGAACCCTGGTTCTGCAAGGAATGAATTTATTGCTGATAGTTGAGAATTGGAAGGTTTGGCAATTTTAAAGAAATCTGCACTTTTGACATCTTTTGGTAAATAAAGGATCTGGCAACACAGAGATCTCAATCCTACAGGAACACAATTGCCTGGTGATAAGTAGTGGCTGCCACCTATGTGCTAGGAAGAAAAAGAAAGTAGGCTAAGGATAGAGGGTGTGATGGGGGAGAAGAGCTACCTTAGATAGAACAGTCAAGGGAGGACCTCTTGGAGGAGATGATGCCTTTGCCAAAATGTGAAAGAAGTGAGTGAGCGAGCTATGCAACATCAGGGGGGAAGGGAACAGCCAGTGCAAAGGCCCTGAGGTCAGAGAGAATCTGATAAGTTTTAGGGCAGCAGGAAGGCCAGTGGGGCTGGAGTAGAGAAAGCCAGGCGGAAGACGTAGAAGGTGAGGTCCTTGAGGCAAGGGGGCAGGGGCAGATCTTTACGAGGCTTGAGGACTGAAGTGACAGCTTTGGCTTTTACTCTGAGTAGGAACCACCTAAGGGCTCTGAGCAGAAGAGGAACATGATATGACTCAGTGTGGGGAGCAGACTGTGGGAGGTAAGGGCAGAGGCAGGTAACTGGTGAGGAGGTGACTGCAGTGGCCCAAGGGAGAGAAGATGGTGGTTGGGACCAGGGTAGAGGCCGAGGAGGTGGGGAGAGGTGGCTAGATTCAGATTTTGTATGCCCTCTCACACCTCTCCCCGCAGGCCAAGCCCTTATTCAAATCCACACGGAGCCTGCCCACTGTGGAGACCTCACCCCAGCCGGCTCCTCAGACCTACGCCGAGTACGCCATCTCAGGACCTCCAGGAGGGTCTGGAGCCACACGCCCCATAGGGCCAGAACCCCTGGCAGGAGAGACCCCCAACCAGGCCCCCAAACCAGGAGCAAAATCCAACAGCATCATTGTGAGCCCCCGGCAGGTGAGGAGGGGGCTGGAGAAGTGGGGCTTTGGGGTTTCTGGTGGGAAACGTGGTTATAGGGAGGGCTTTCTAGTGGACAAGGAAGGAGTTCTGAGTTCTAGCCATTATGCTCTCAACAGCACCATTCATCCATTCAACTAGCGTGTGTGGGTTGAACATGCCCCATGTCTTAGTCTGTTCAGGCTTCTGTAACAAAAATACCATAGACTGGTGGTCTGAACACCGAACATTTATTTCTCACAGTTCTGGAGGCTGAGAAGTCCAAGATCAAGGCGCTGGCAGATTCGGTGTCTAGTGAGGACCCGCTTCCTGGTTCATAGACAGCCATCTTCTCACTGTGTCCTCACAGCGTAGGAAAGGGTGAGGGAGCTCTCTGGGGTCTCTTTTATAAGAGTGCTAGTCCCATTCATGAGGGCTGCACCTTCATGACCTAATCACCTCCCTTCACCTCCTAATATCATCACATTGGGGGGGTAGTATTTCAACCTATGAATTTTGGGGAGACACAGACATTCAGTCCATAGCACCCCAACTCTTACGGTTGGGGGCATGATGGTGTTCATGAAGCTACCTTTCCTGTTCCCAGGTTTGTCCATTTATTCAAAAACAGTTGAACACAGGCCCAAGTTTGAATCCCACTCTGCCACACAGTAGCTGTGTCATCTTGGGCATCATCTTGGGTGACTTAACCCCTCTGAGCCTTTAAAATGGGGGTTCACCCACTTACAATCCATAAATATCTTCAGAGGTTACCTGGTGCACTTCTAAGCTCTGGAGATTGCAGATAAAGTCTCTGCCATTGACGGGGCTGGCATTCTGGAAGGAGAGAGCAGCAGTGTACAGAGATAATAGTGGGACTCAAGAACATGAAATATGCTCAAAATTTTTAGCCATCAGGGAAATGCAAACCAAAACCACAATGAGATACCACGTCATACCCTAGAATCAAAAGGATAGACAATAACAAGGGTGGGGAGAGTGTTGGAGGAGTTGGAGCCCTCATACACTGCTGGTGGGAATGTAAAATGTTGCAGCCACTTTGGAAAACCGCCTGGCAGTTCCTCAGACATTTAAACATAGAGTTATCATATGACCTTGCAGTTCCACCTCTAGGGATATATGCAAGAGAAATGAAAATACGGTCAACCTTCTGCAACCATGGATACAAAACCCGCAGACACGGAGGGCCAACGGTACTACCTCATCTGTGGATTTTGATATCCAGGGGGTCCTGGGACCAATCCTCTGTGGATACTAAGGGACCACTGTCTTACGTCCACACAAAATCTAGTACACACATGTTCACAACAGCATTATTCACAGTAGCCAAAAAGTGGAAACAACCCAAATGTCTAGCAAATGATGACTGGTTTTTTTTCACTTAGCATAATGCTCTCAAGGTTCATCCATGTTGTAGCATGAATTAGTACTTCATTCCTTTTCGTTGCTAAATAGTATTCCATTGCATGGATATGCCAGTTTCTGTTTGTCCATTCATCCATTGATGGGCGTTCGGGTTGTTCATATTTCTCAGTTATTAGGAAAATGCTGCTGTGAACATTTGTGTACTGCTGTTAACATGTGTTTCCAGTTCTCTTGGGTATTTATCTAGGAGTGGAATTGCTGGGTCGTATGGTAACTGTATGTTTAACTTTCTCAGGTGCCCCCAACTGTCTTCTAAAAGGCTGCATCATTTTACATTCCCACCAGCAGTGGATGAAGGTTCCATTTTCTCACCATATCGTCACCACTTGTCATTGTCTGTCTTTTGGATTTCAGTCATTCTAATGGGTGTGAAGTGGACAAAATACTTCTTTAAAAATTAAAATTGGGATAAACAACAAGGTCCTACTGTATAGCACAGAAAATTATATACAATATCCTGTGATAAACCGTGATGGAAAAGAATATTTAAAAATGTATATATATATATATATATATATATGTATAACTGAATCACTTTGCTGTCCAGCAGAAATTAACATGACATTGTAAATCAACTGTGCCTCAATTTAAAAAAATAAATAAAATTGGATCCCGCCCCTCCCTTGCCCAAAGCCTGTCCATGGCTCCCAGTGGCTCAGGTTCACATGGCCCAGAGCCTGTGGGACTTGGGACCCCTGCAGACCCTTCCCACCCCAGCTGCTCTGACCACTCCACAGTCCACCCCGAGAGCAGATACCACACCCTTATTAGAGCTGAATTCCACCTCACGTGGTAATTACATGTTCGTCCCTGAGATGCTTTTGTTTAATGTCTGTGTCCCCCACGAGGGCAGGGATCTATGTCCTCTTGGTCATGGCTGTATCCCCAGCACTTAGACACACAGTAGGCACTCAGATACCTGAATAGATCAGAGCTTGACCTGCTCAAAGTATTTTGGTCTTGGGCTACAGGGTAGAGCATGAGGCGGGGGTTTACTTATTTCTTTTGGCTGCGTTGGGTCTTCATTGCTGCGCGTGGCTTTTTCTAGTTGCGGCGAGCGGGGGCTACTCTTCGTCACAGTGCGCGAGCTTCTCATTGCAGTGACATCTCGTTGCAGAGCACGGGCTCTAGGCGCGTGGGCTTCAGTAGTTGTGGCACATGGGCTCAGTAGTTGTGGCTCGCGGGCTTAGTTGCACCGCAGCTTGTGGGATCTTCCCGGACCAGGGATCCAGCGCGTGTCCCCTGTATTGGTAGGCGGATTCTTAACCACCGTGCCACCAGGAAAGTCTGTGAGGGGTGTTTAGAGAGAGGAGTCTGCTGGGCAGATACCAGGCTTTCGGGGCTCTGACCCTGTGGAGGGTCACAGGCCACGGTGAGGAGCTTCCTCCTGAGGGCACTGGGAAGCCATGGCAGGGCTTAGAGCTGGAGAGGGGCAGCTTTGTGCTTTAGGAAGAGCCGTCTGGCTCCTGTTTGGAGGGTGGCCAGGAGGGGATACCACTGGGGCAGGAGACCAGGAGGAGGTGGGGTGGAGGCCATGGCAGTGGAGGGGGAGGAATTCATGGGGGATGCTTAGAAGGTAGATGTCCCACCTGGTGGATGAGGGGGAGAGGGAAGCTTGTAGGAAAAGGCCTGGGTCTCTGGATGGTGGGGCCGGCCCTGAGTTGGGGCTGGGAGGGGGAGCAGGTGTGGAGGCCAGTGCCGAGTGCAGTGAGGTAGATCCCTGGGGACAGGTGTCCAGTGGACCAAGGACATACGAGCTGGGGCTGGGGACAGGGCTGAGCTGGAGAGAGACCCAGGGACCCTTTAGTTAAGGCCTAGGGCCAGGGAGGAGGGGCCTAGGTCAGAGCCCCAGTACCAAGAACATTCCAGGCTGCGGAGGAGGAGGAGTCTGGGGAGAGGAGGAGGGCAGAGCTGGAGAAGCCCCGGGTGCAAAGCAGGAGGTGGGGGGAGGGGCCCTGGGGTGGCGGTGGGCCCAGGGTCACTCTGCTAATGGCTTCCGTTCTCCCTCCCCCCAGAGGGGCAACCCCGTGCTGAGGTTTGTGCGCAACGTGCCCTGGGAGTTTGGCGATGTGCTTCCCGATTACGTGCTGGGCCAGAGCACCTGTGCCCTCTTCCTCAGGTGAGCTCTGGGGGCCACCCACCCTCAAGATGGCCTGCGAGGGCTGTGCTCTGGGTGTTCTCAGCCATCGTATGGGAGACCTCTGGGCACGGCCCGGGCCTAGGTGTGACCCTGTGTGGGAGGCAGAGATCTTGGCTTAGAGGTGTCGGAAGCAAGAGCTGGGCCCCGGACTCTGGGTCTGAGGGAGGAGGGACCGGGGGCCTGGATCCTGGGTCTGAGGGAGGAGGGCCTGGGGGCCTGGATCTTGGGTCTGAGGGAGGAGGGGCCGGGAGTCTGGATCCTGGGTCTGAGGGAGGAGGGGCCGGGGGTCTAGATGCTGGGTCTAAGGGGGGAGGGGCCGGGGGCCTGGATCCTGGGTCTGAGGGGGGAGGGGCCGGGGGCCTGGATCCTGGGTCTGAGGGAGGAGGGGCTGGGGGTCTGGATCCTGGGTCTGAGGGAGGAGGGGCCGGGGGTCTGGATCCTGGGTCTGAGGGGGGAGGGGCCAGGGGTCTGGATCCTGGGTCTGAGGGAGGAGGGGCCGGGCGCCTGGACTCTGGGGCTGCGGGAGGAGGGGGACTCATGTCCTGGACACCAGGACTGGAGCCAGGATTTCTGTAACTGTCGCCACAGTTAAATAAGTTTCCCTCCACTCCTGGGGGCCCCTCTCCAGACAGGGGAAGTGAAACTTCTAAGTTCCTGTCCTCCCTGCAGTGTATGAGAGCTGCTATAGCAGACACGTCCCTTTGTTCCTGGGTGGCAAAGCCACCCCACCCCGTCCGTGCCAGCGCACTCTGTGGTCAAAGCAGGCAGTCCCGGGGATGGGCCCTGCTTCCCAAGACCAGCTGTGCAGCACCACCCCCTGACCCCGGTATACACTCTCTAGGGTTTCCTGGTCTCCACCTGAAACCTAAAGTCCTTCTCTTCCTAGGTGAAGAATCTGGGGGTCCACCCTTCCAAGGAGTCAGAGCCAAGCATCCCTCACTGCCAGTCCCCTCATGCCCCTTTCTTGAAGGGTAACCTTGGGCAAGTCACTTAACCTCTCTGAGCCTCAGATCTGCCTGTGCTCCCCAAGCCCTCTGCCTTCCAGCAAGAGGGGAGAAGGGCTTCTGGGGTCTCTTAGCTGGAGACCTACCAACCCTCCCTCTCCCACCCCCCAGCCTCCGTTACCACAGCCTCCACCCAGACTACATCCATGGGCGGCTGCAGAGCCTGGGGAAGAGCTTCGCCCTTCGGGTCCTGCTCGTCCAGGTGGATGTGGTAAGCAGGGGTCACTCCTCCATGGGCCTCACTGCCCCCATCTGTGAAATGGGGAGCCTTGGGCCTCCTGGTTGCCTGGTAGACTGTTGAATCTCTTCTAAGGAGAAATGCAAGTTGGAACCCCAGTGGGGAACTTCTCACATCTGAGATGGACAGCTGTGTTGGCCAGGAGGTGGAGGGTCAGATTACCCGTCTCCTCCTTCCCCACTCCCCCTTCAACCAGGCCCTGGCCTCTGCCACTTCAATACTTGAACCTGTTTCATTCTATCCTTACAGCCGGGCCCTGATCCAGGCCCTTTCCCCTCTTGCCTGGGTCCCTGCCCCAGCCTCTTTTCTTGTCTTGTGGCCTCCAGCTTCGACCCTGCAGTAGTCAGAGGGGTCTTCTGGCACACAGATCTGATGTCCCAACCCCTCCGTGATCCCCTAGTGCCCTCCATGGCCCGTGAGGCCCAGTGTCACCCGATCCCTGCCCAACTCTCCTGGTTCATCTCTAAGCTTCCACGTGATCACCCTTTCATTTCACAGCCTCCATCCCATAGTGGTGAATTGTATTTCCTCAAGCCTTTCCCCTCCCTTCTTTGCACACGCTGTTCCCTATGCCTGGAATTCCCTTTTCTGCTCTCTGTTGCCCTCACTCCTCATCCTCCTTCAGGTCCCAGCTCAGATATCCCCTCTTCTAGGAAGCTCTCCCTAATCCCCCAGGTAGGACAGACGCTCCTCTGGCTCTCCCACCCCAGCGCTGGCCACTCTTGAGTCATCACTGACTGGGGACTGTCTGTCCCCCTCATCACACTGTGAGTCCCAGGAAGGCACAACCAGGGCTGTCCCGGTCACTGCTGGGTCCTGCACAGGCTGGGCACCCAGTTGGAGATTAGGGAGTGTCAGTTGAGTGAAAGGCTCTTGGCACCCTAAGCTGCTCTGCTTCCAAGACTATAATTCTTTGCTTTCTCCCAGATCCCTCATTCTAATTTTCTTCTCTACTCAGAAAGATCCTCAGCAGGCCCTCAAGGAACTGGCTAAGATGTGCATCCTGGCCGACTGCACCCTGATCCTTGCCTGGAGGTGAGATGGAGGCTCCCCTCCCAGGTCAGGCTCTATCCTGAGAGTTATTGCCCCTTCTGCCCCCAAATCTTCCCAGCCCTTCTTCCTCCCATGAACTCTCTGTGTGAGTCTGGTCCAGGCACTGCCTCTCTGGGCTTCAATTTCTTTATCTGTAAAGTAGGGTCTTAATATCTTTCTTATAGGGTTGTAGGCACAAAAGCAGGTGACATACATCAAATCCCAGGACCATACTAGGCACTTATGAGTTAGACATAAAATCTGGCTGAATAATTAATTTCAAGTCTAGGTTTCTAAAGACTATTTTGATTGGCTCTCCAATAGGGAAAAGAAGACATCCCTTCCTCACACCATAATCAGAACAAAATCTTGATAATTATAGACACAAAAAGCAAAACTACAGTAAAAGTATTCAAAGAAATCTTATAAAATATATATATATTTATTATGATCCTGTGGTAGGGAAAGTCTTCCAAAACAAGACCCAAAACCTAGACACCATAAAGGAAAAGGTTACCCAATTTGAGCAAATTAAAAATTTAAAACTTCCAGATGGTAAGAGATACTGTAAACAAAGTTAAAAGACAAGTGACAAACTAAGAGAAAATACTTGTTATATATATATAAAACAAAGACTTATGATCCCTAATTTATATACGTATATATAAATTTTATATTTATACAGTTCAAATATATATAAATATTTATATTCATAGGAGTGTATTTAAACATTTATTACATGTTTACATGTATATATACATATATATATGTGTATATATACATATATATATATATAAAGAGCCTCTTACAATTCAGTAAGAAAAAAATAGCCCGATTTTTAAAAGTCTAACGCAGGTTGCGAAGAACACATGAAAAAACTGTCAGCCACACAGCTTATCAGGAAAAGTAAATTTTCAAAGAATGAGGTGTTATTTTTCACCCATTAATTTGGTGAAAACGTCAGATGGATAATATGAAAGGGGCACCTGCATGTTTGGTTGGCAGGAGACTTCACTGGCTATTAAAACAGGAAATAGACACACTCTTCAACGCAGAAATTCCCCCACTCGGAATGTCTCCCCTTCGATCATCCCTCCCTGGGTGTGCAGATCCACAGTGGCATGGGCCTTCCTGGCACCATCCGTGCAGTAAGCTGCAGGACCAAACAGGATGATAGTTTAATTTATGTGTAAAAGGAAGGAAAGTGAGCCGTGTTTATGAACAGATACAGATGTGAACAAACTGAAGGGGCTCCAAGGGGTCCAAGCTGGGAACAGCGTTGAACCTTGCGAATGGCACAAGGGGAGGTCCTGAGGGGCGGGAGACTTCTATCCTCTGCCCTTCTCTTTTCTTCTGAATATGAAATGGTTAGTTTCTTTTGTTAAAGAATAGGTAGCATATTCATGTAGTTAAAAAATCAGAGGTGATTATATATATACTGTATATATATTATATAAGTATGTATAAGTATTATAAAATGTAAGTATATAAATATTATAAGTGTATATAAGTATATATGAGTATATACATAAGTAATATATAATACATTTATATAAGTTATATATTTTATAAGTATATATAATATATACCTATATCATATAAGTATATATACTAAGATATATAATCACTTCTGAGTTTTGAACTACATATATTATATATATATATATACCATTTTTATATTGCTTTCAGATACTGTATATGTGTATACAATATATATATAAATGGTAGTATATGCCCTTAAAAGTCTCTCTCTTCTGCCCCTTCTCTCCCACTCTACTCCCCTCACCCTTACAGGTCACCATTATTGTTGGTTTCTTTATTTCCTTCCAACGTTTCTATAAAGCGCAAACACGTGTGAAAACATGTTAATTTTCTTTCTCAGACAGAAGTAAGCCTAGTATATATACCGTTCTGTGCCTTGTGTGGTCACGTCATTATCTGGGTCTTTTCTGTATCAGTGTAGAGAGCAGCCTCATTATTTTTTATAGCTGTGTAGTATTCTAATATAGTGTCCACATAAAAAAACTAATAGACTTCTTTTTAGAGAAATTTTAAGTTTACAGAAAAATTGGAAAGTACAGAGAGTTCCCACATACCCCCTCTCCCCCTGCACACAGTTTGTGCAATTATTTATATCTTGTATTAATTAGTGTGGTACATTTGTTACAACTGATGAACTAATATTGAGATACCGTTATTATTAACTAAAGTCCACAGTTTACATTAGGGTTCTCTCTTTGTGTTTACATGCTATGGGTGTGATGTGTCCATAGTTACTGTTTTACAGAATAATTTCACTGCCCTGAAAGGTCCTCTGTGCTCTCCCTTTTCATCCCTTTCTTCCCCCAACCCCTGGCAACCTCTGACCTTTTGACTGTCTCTGTAGCTTTGCCTTTTCTAGGATGTCATATAGTTGGAATCATACAGTATGTAGCTGAAATAGAAGAATCCACAGTTCTCCTCGTGTGTTTGGAAAACCCAGTTCTTCATCCTGTGCGTCTCCTTTACTCCTCACACAAAGCCCTTCACTGCTGGCCACCAAATATGTGGAGGATTTTCCCCACACCAAGCAGTTCTCTGCCAGCTGGGTGTCCTACAGCTTAGCTCAGTTCTGACACTGTCTACCTGGAGATACCGTCAGATCCCACAGGTTAAGGGCTCGCAGCGCTGCCCCATCACACACACACTGCAGGCGCCAGTCGCAAGCCCAGGGAATCCCCTGTGCTCTGACCAGCCGGCTATAGGTCAGGACCTCCAATGACCCCTTCCTCAGGTTTGATTATTTTGCTAGCGCAGCTCACAGAACTCAGGGAAACACTTACTTCTGCTTACCAGTTCCTTAAAGGATATGATAAAGGACATGGATGAAGAGGTACATAGGGCAAGGTCTGGGGAGGGGCCTGAGCCCCTGTGGAGCTGGGGTGTGTCACTCTCCCGGTGTGGATGTGTTCGCCAGCCTGGAAGCTCCCCAAACCCCGGTACTAGTGTTGGGATTTTATGGAGGCTTCTCACGTAGGCATGATCACTTATTAACTCCATTTCCAGCCCCTCTCCCCTCTGGAGGATCGGGGGTGGGGCTGAAAATTCCAAGCTTCTTATCCTGGCTTGGACTTTCTGGCTACCAACCCCCATCCAGGAGCCATCCAGAGTCACCTCAGAGGAACAAAAGATGCTCCTGGCGTTCTTATCACTTAGGAATTTACAAGGGTTCGGAGCTCTGTGCCTTTTTGCCTTTGTTGGATCGTTGCTGCGCGCGGGCTTGCTCTAGTTGCAGCGAGCGGGGGCTACTCTTTGTTGCGGTGCGTGGGCTTCTCATTGCGGTGGCTTCTCGTTGTGGAGCACGGGCTTCAGTAGTTGTGGCTCGCGGGCTCTAGAGCGCAGGCTCAGTAGTCTGGCACACGGGCTCAGTTGCTCTGTGGCATGTGGGATCTTCCCGGACCAGGGCTCGAACCCGTGTCCCCTGCATTGGCAGGCGGATTCTTTTTTTTTTTTTTTTTTTTTGCGGTACGCGGGGCTCTCACTGTTGTGGCCTCTCCCGTTGCAGAGCACAGGCTCCGGACGTGCAAGCTCAGCGGCCATGGCTCACGGGCCCAGCCGCTCCGCGGCATGTGGGATCTTCCTGGACCGGGGTATGAACCCACGTCCCCTGTGTCGGCAGGCGGACTCAACCACTGCGCCACCAGGGAAGCCCTGGCAGGCGGATTCTTAACCACTGTGCCACCAGAGAAGTCCTAGCAATAGGCTTTTAAGGTTCCTCTATGTCTTTTCATATCTTGGTAATTCATTTGCTATTTCAGCTATATAGTATTTTCATTTTCAGCTATATAATATTCTACCGTGTAGATGGACCAGCTCTGTAGCCCCCTAATGGTGGACACTTGGGTGGATTTCCAAGCTTTTGCTGGTACCAGCAACACTCCCACTACTGCCCTGAACCCCAGGAATGGGTATTTAGGCCAAAGGGTAAATGTATTTGTAATTCTGTGCCCTCCCTGGGGGTGTGTTACCTCTACACTGTTTGACTATTTGGAGAAATGTATTTATGTATTAATTGTATATTAAAACAAAAGCAAGTATAAAAATTGCTCTTTTTGCTGTGGGAAGTAGCACAGTGGAGTATAGAGAGCCCAGCCAGGTGAGACAGACCCACTGAAGGAGCTGTCTCTCCTCCTCGCCGTGTGATCTTGGGCAGTGCTGGTCTGTTTCCCCCTCTGCGTAATGGATTGAAAATAACTGCCTTATAGGATCTCTCAGGAGAGCTTCTGAACATAAAGGGCTTTGGACAGTGCCTGGAATGCAGCTGGGACCCCACACAGGGTATATTTCCCATGTCTTTACATCCAAACTAGGGAATGTTTTGGACCCATTAAGTAAATGAGATTGACCTCCGTCTGTGGATGTGGAAGGATGTCCTGGTTGTACTGTGGAGCAAAAGTGAAAGCAAGGAAGCGGATACAGCGCGCTAACTTGTGTGTCCTGAACAAATGATTAATAACAATAACAATAATAATCCCCGCTACAGCGAGAGGAAAGCAACAAAGCCCATGGAAAAAACACAGAATTAGAAAACTGAGTGTTTCTTTCAAAAATATAAATCAACGTTTAATCAACAAACATTGCTCACGAGCTAGACTTTGAAGGCTAAGGAAATGCCTCAAGACAAATACTTTATTTCCACTCAACTCAATATCCTCGAGTTCCAAAGAGAAAAAAGACCAGCTTTTCCCTGTTCCTTTATTCCACACACAGACAGTCCCTTTTAATGATTTAGTTGTTTCAACTACCTTTGAAACAGTTAATTACGTATCAAAAAAACCCCAGTGCCTAATGGGAAAATGAATGGCGATTGTGAAGTTGGGTTAGTTGTGGTAAAAGATTCAGCAGTCAGGGTCCGGAGCTTTTTCCTTTTGAAGGTGTGCTACATGAAAGACCTTCAAAGCTCCATTTTTCTTGGTAGTGGGAGCTGACTGCTTCATGAGGTTGTCTTCCTGTGGTTGGGAAAAGAAATGGTACTTTTGGTTTTTCTCTCTCTCGAACCTGGCCAAACTCTGTGCACTGACCTCCCTCCCAGAAGAGCTAACATTTCTTAAATAGACTTCTAAGCGCCAGGTGTGGCACTTAGCGTGGACTCATTTAATTGTCAGCTTAATTGTCAATTGTCCCCCACTTTACAGATGAGGAAACCGAGGCCCAGAGAGATGAAAACCATTGGCCCAGGGTAACTCAGGTGGGAAGCGGGGCCTGAACCTAACTGGTCAGGCTCCCATCCTCTGGCCCTTAGTCAGAAAAGATGTGTTAAGATGCACCAAGCAAGGGTTACCGCCAGGGGACATTTTGGGGGAGGTTGAGAACATTCATTCCTCTATACATTAGAGTTTGGAATTCTTGGAGTCAGCAAATGAAATTAATCTAAAACATGACCCCTCCTTCCCCTGACCCGAATGTCTCTCACCCCAGCCCTGAGGAGGCCGGGCGGTACCTGGAGACATACAAGGCTTACGAGCAGAAGCCGGCGGACCTCCTGATGGAAAAGCTGGAGCAGGACTTCGTCTCCCGGGTGAGGCCACCTCACCTCCCTGCCTGGGCCTCCCCCTAGCTCCTCCTTGGGGGTATGAGCTGCAGTTCTGATCTCGAGTCATACCTCTCCCTCCCCGACCCCACCCTCAGCTTCCAGTCCCTTCTCCTGCCCAAACAGCAGTGAGAGGGGTCTTCCTAAGCACAAACCTGATCCTGCCCTTTCCTGCTCAAAACCCTCCCGTGGCTCCCCAGTGCCCTCATCATGCTCTCCAAGGCCTTGCCTATTTGACCCGGCAGCCCCGTCTGCCCCCTGCCCCCGCATTCTGTCGCTTCTCTGTGCCTGTTCCCTCTGCCTTGATTAGATCCCTAATCCCATCTTTCCCCCATCTCAGCTCTAATGCTTCCTTCTCCAGGAAGTCCTCCCGGATACCCAGGCCAGGTCAAGGGCCCCCCCGCTGGGCTCCCTCAGTCCCAGCCCTGTCTGGGTCACCGTGTCTGTAACTGATTTGTCTCCCGAACTGGACTGGGAGCCCCAGGAGGGCAGGGCTGGGGCTCTCTCGATCCCTGCTGTGTCCCCAGCACCACTGAACAGTCAGTGAGTGCTTAGGGAGTATTTGCTGAACGAACTGTTGAATCTGGGCTCCAATGATAGAGTAATGGAGGATGTCCACAGCCACCCCTGAGGTGGGTACTATGAGGACCCCCATTAGCCTGCAAACGGAGGCCCAGAGAGGTCAGTTCCCTTGCCCAGGGTGTCACAGGGAGTAAGCAGTGGGGCCTGGTTTTGAACTCGGGTCCAACTTCAGAGCCTGTGGTCTGTGCCCAGGGCAGAACCAACTCAAGATAAATGGCGTTTATCTTCGAATCACATGACCAACACCCTCTCAGCTAGTTGGGGATCACTCTGAGATGACTTTTTTTTTTAAATTAATTATTATTTAGTTTTGGCTGTGTTGGGTCTTTGTTGCTACGCACGGGCTTTCTCTAGTTGTGGCGAGCGGGGGCTACTCTTCATTGTGGTGCGCGGGCTTCTCATTGCAGTGGCTTCTCTTATTGCAGAGCATGGGCTCTAGGTGAGCAGGCTTCAGTAGTTGTGGCTTGCAGGCTCTAGAGCATAGGCTCAGTAGTTGTGGTGCACGGGCTTAGTTGCTCCGTGGCATGTGAGATCTTCCCAGACCAGGGCTCGAACCCATGTCCCCTGCCTTGGCAGGTGGATTCTTAACCTCTGTGCCACCAGGGAAGTCCCCGAGATGACCTTTTAATCATCAGAACACATAATCAAAAAACATGCCCCCAAAGCATTTACTGAGCTCCTCCCGCATGCAGGGCAGTCTGGGGATACAGCAGTGACCCAGTGCCGCCCTCACAGACTCAGTCTTGTTCTCCTTTCTTCCAATCCACCTCTGCCCCCTCCTTCCCTTCCAGGTGACTGAATGTCTGACCACCGTGAAGTCAGTCAACAAAACGGACAGTCAGACCCTCCTGACTACTTTTGGGGTAACGAACAATTCCCTTGTGCCGACTGGCATTTCTACCCCCTTTGCTTTTTGAGGAAGCCCCCTGCGTCCCTTCTACCTCCCTGTCCTCTCCCCCATCCTTCCTGCCTCCCCTGCCCTCCTGCAGGATATCAGTTCCTTCCAGGAATATTTTACACCCCTCATCAGCTGGGGCAGGGGAGAGTTTTGTGTTCACCTCCCCTGATCGTTCGCTCCTACTTTCCTCAGTCTCTGGAACAGCTCATAGCTGCATCGCGGGAAGATCTGGCCTTGTGCCCAGGCCTGGGGCCCCAGAAGGTAAGAGCCCTGGGAATGGGCTTGAGGGGTTGGGGGCAGGAGGGAGCCCCAAATAAATGGGACCTCAGACCCCAAAGTTCTGAGGTTTCAGAAGGCCCACAGTGCCTCTCCTACAGATGGGGAAAACTGAGGCCCAGAGAGGGTGTGGACCAGCCCAACCTCACACAGCCAGTCTGGGATAGAATCCAGATCAGGCTACTTCTCTCCTAGCCCCCCGAGTCCCCTCCAAGCTAGGAGGAAAAGAACCAAAAGCCCACTCCGATGTATCAAACAAATGGCTCATTTAATGACCACTTCCTTTTCCTTCTCCCTCCCCTCCAGGCTCGAAGGTTGTTTGATGTCTTACACGAGCCCTTCTTGAAAGTGCCCCGATGACCTCTGCTGCCAAGGAGGCCCTTGGTGTAACAATAAAGCACTTTCCTGGTCCAGGCTCAGGCTGGTGTGCTGGTGTGGTCAGTGGGAGTGGGGGTCTTCTCTGCTCTCGCCTTCTGATGGCCCAGGTGGCCACTTTCAGCTTGTCTGAGTTGCAGTCATCAGTTTCGCTGACGGAGACTTACACGGGATCCTGCTGCGGCTTCTTCTTCCTCTTCCTCTCCTGTCCCGTGGGAGCCACCTCCCCAGACTCGGGATTCAGCAGCGGCTCTGGCATCTCCTCCTGGGATGCTGTCTCTGGCACCCAGCTTTCCTGGCCCCGCTTTTTCTTCTTCTTGGTAGATGCCGGATCGGCCCCGGCCTCAGACTGCCCCTCACGTGGCAGCTCAGGCTCCATCATCTCACCTTGTGGGTTAATCGTCTCAGTCCCTGGCTCTGTCGCTTTGTGCCCTCTTTCTTTCTTCTTCTTTTTCTTGGTGGATGCTAGAGCTGCCTGAGGCTCGGGCTCCATCACCTCTTCCTGTGGCTCCACCACCTCTGTCCCTGGCTCCGTCATTGCATTCTGTCGTTTTCCTTTCTTCCTTCTCTTTTTGGGGGATGCCAGAACTGCCTCAGCCTGTGGCTCCACTTCATGTGGCAGCTCAGGCTCTATCATCTCCCCTGAGAGCTCCAGAGGTTTCATCTCTGGCTCTATAACCTCAGTCCCTGGCTCCCTCATCACTTTGTACCCCTTTTCTTTTTTCTTCTTCTTCGAGGACGGCAGTGGGATGGCTTCCTCCCGTGGCTCCATCTTCACCTGCAGCTGAGGCTCAACTATCGTCCCCTCCACCGGCTCCATCCCTTCTGTCCCCGTCTGCTTCTTCCTCTTCTTGCTGGGGGATAGGACTGTCTCTTCCAGAGGCTCACTTTTGACCATGAGTTCCAGCTCCACTGTCTTTTCTTCTGACTCCAGCACCCCCATTTCTGGCTTGACCATTTCTACCTCTTTGGGCTTCTTTTTCCTCTTCTTGCTGGTGGCTGGGGACAGTGCTCCCAGAGGCTCCAGCATCTCAGCAGCAGGCTCTGTTGCCAGTGGCTCTGTCACCTCCAGGTCTTTCAGCTGCTGCTTTTTTTTCTTCTTCCCCACATCCACCTCTGAGGACCCCAAAGCTGTGTCCACCTCCAGGGCCCCAGGCTCATTCACTGCCTCCTGAGGAACTGAGGCCTCTGACACATGCCTCTTCTTTTTCCTCTTCCCGGAAGCCAGTGACTTCAACGCCAAGACTGATCCAGGCCCTGTGACTGGTGGGCTGCCTCCAAAGGCACAGAACCGAGGCTTCAGGCCAGGGGGGATCTGTGGTGGGGGATTTGCTGGAATGGGCTGCAGCAGGGTCCCTGTTAGGGATTCCTGGGGACCCTCAAAGATCCTCAGGCTGCCCTGTAGCGCCGGGGCAGAGGTGAGTCCCCCTCCCGCCTCTGCTGACGGGGCCAGCAGGGTTGCGCCTCCTCCAGCCTGAGGGCCACTGCTGCTGAGGACCCGGTAGCGGTGCCGCTTGCCTGCCAACTTGCCCTTCAAGATACGGGAGCCAGAGAGAGGCACGAGTCGCCCATTGAGGCTGAAGGGAGAAAGGGGGAGGGCAGAAACTTGGTCAGATTCTTTTGGTGGGACGGGGCAGCAGCTGAGAAGCAGCATTTCTGGGTTCCCCAGGAAAGCCCCTCTAAATTCCCCCCAGGTTCAGCCACTGGGGTGAGGAGTATTCCTGCTAAGTGGCATGGGACAACTCACCAGTCTGGGGCGAAGTCTACAGGGGCCTGGATAAGCCACAGTTCTGTATCTGGGCCAGTCAACGCCTCCAAAGAGAAACGAGTGTGCTCTGAGGCTGGGGGTGTCGCAGTAAAGTTGGGGGGACAAGAAAACCGAGCAGCACCTGCAGAAGGGTAAACGGGAGTCTGCTGACACTTAATTGCTGGTCCAATCCTCCAGGGCGCCTATTGGTCCATTGGTCCCAACTTCCTGAGGGTCCCAGTCCTCTAACCGCGACTTTCCTCTCTCCCGTCTGTCCACCAGAGGCGCACCTATATCCGCCGACCCAACCCTTGTTCTCTCCACTGCTGTTCCCGCCCCCCACCAAAATATCTTCTCTCTATTCTAATTCCCCCCCCCCCCGCCCGCCATCCCCCGGGGGATACACTCTCCGCTGATCCTGCCTCCGAGGATGTCCCTTTTTCCGTCCGAACGCTCCAGGGTACCCCTTTTTCTCCTCCCGCCAGACAACTCTCTGCACCCTGTCGGCCCGCCATGAAGCAACTCACCGCCGGACGGGGTCCCCGCCATCCCGGGACCCATGCCTCAGACCTAGCAGCCAGAGCCACTCAGGCCCCGCCGCCGACCACGTGGAACCAAAGGGGTGGGGCCTCATCTGGGAGCGTCCATGTGGCACCAGGGCGCGGGAGGTGTCGCTCGGAGCCCCCTCGCTCTGTGAGCACAAGCGGGGGAAATTTCCACTTGTGCACAGCAGACTACCGAGAAAGCCATCTTTTACCCAAAGTCTGCTCCCAAAAGCAGCCGACTCGCCTGTTTGGCGGGAGTTAGAGCCGCACCAGGTCCCGGAGGGTATCCCCACAGCCTCAGACATGATTTGCTCCAACGTTGCCTTAAAGGGGCAGCCACATTCACAGGACCTACTCTTAAAGAGACAGGAAGATCGATTGGACTGAAATTCTTAGAGAGGCAGGTAAGAGTCTAGGTCGGCAGGACTGTGCTTTCAGTGTTACAATCCCTTCTAGGGAGGCCCAGATGCCTCAGAAATTCAGAACTTGAGTGAGAGAGGTGGGAAAATGGAGGAATGGGGGTAATTCCTCCCGAGGGCGTTAACTATCAGCCAGGGGCGGGGCTCTGGGCTCCAGGGGAGCGGGAAATATAGGGGGAGGAGCCTGTGGATCCCAGGGCGGAGCCTCTGGACTCCCGAGCTGGACACGCGTGGGGCGGTGCGACTAAGGGGCGGAGCTGTGGCCCAAAAGACAGGTAGATGCCCTCGAGGATTTAGTCTCGTGCGTGGGGGGACATTTCCAAAGGCCTTGAGGAAGGGAGAGAGAGTAGACGTCGTGACTAGCGCCCCTTCCCTGCCCTGGGGTGCGTGTAAGCAGCGGCACGTGAACGCAGATTTGGGGGACACGCCCACGCCCCTTCACACAGGGACTGCACAGCGTAGGGCGACGGGCGGAGCCGCGAGACGGTGGCTAGACTGGGTGATCCGACTGCATTCCTGACCGGTGTGTCAGCGCTGATTTCCGCCCCCTCTGCCGAGATTTCGGATCCTACTTTAGAACTGGGGCGCCCACCTTCTCAGCGAGGCAGCGGCTGCTCAGAGAGGAGGAGGGTCAGGGGAAGAGGACGTGCTGCCTCCTCCCGGGATCGCCAGACAGTTCCCGCGCGTGGGCGAGACACCCGGGCCCTGCCCCTGCGGGCTCCGGGACTACAATTCCCAGAGGACGCGAGGTTGGGTGGCGCCCGACGTCGGTCGTGGAAGCTGCTGGGAATCGTAGTCCCAGCCTCCAACTTTGGGAGCCGTTGGTGGGAAATTCTGTAAAGATCCCAACCACCCTTTTTACCGACGGAGAGATTGAGGCTCAGAGACCCGAGGGGATACTGATTTTAGCGAGGCCCTCTTCTCGTCTTGGGGGCGGGATTTGTGAGTCTCCCCCAGACTCTATAACCTTCTACCTCTTTGGTGGCGTCCAAATCTTCTTTCAAGAAGGGTGGGTCAATCCAAATGGGAACGTACCCGTCTACGGCCTGCCCCTCCGCGACTACAAGTCCCAAGGTGCTCGAGGCGACCCCGGCTCCCCCTCCCCTCCGGGACCCGCCTCCCTCCGGTCCGAGTCACGTCGTCTAACCTGTTCCCGGCGCCTGCCCCGCCCCGTCCTCCGCTCCCCGCAGCCGGAGCCGGAGCCGGAGGAGGACCCCTGGTGCCAAGATCTGCCCCGGATCCGTGAGTTACACCCCCCCACCAGGGGTTCAGCGGCCCCGGTGGAGCCCGACACTGGCGTCCCTGGGAGGGTCGGGAGGAGACTCGGACGCCAGGTCCCAGGGCGGAGCTGGGGGACTCCAAGAACGTTAAAAGCTAGAACTTGGATGCCAGATTTACTGGGCAGAAGGAAAAGGGGCTCGGATGCCTGAGTTCTTGGAATGGAGGGCTCAGACACCTTGGTCCCGGGGAGACGTTCGGAGACGTTCGGAAACGTCGGGACGTTTCAGTCCCTCGAAATGGGGGCTTTCGGAAGCCTGAGTCCTTGAGTAGAACTGGGGTATTAGATCTCTTGGGGAGAAATGGGAGACTCGGACTGCTGGGGCTCTGGAATGGGCGGCCATCCCTACCACCCTTCAGCTGCCTTCTCGACCGAGCCTTTAGGTCTCCGAGCAGAATTAGGGGTGGGGTGGGGATAGTGGAACCCGGGTTCCTGAAATGAAGCAGAACAAACATCCAGGGTCCCTCTGGAGGCTGTGTCCCGCCATTCCCCCCACTTTCTGGCTCTGGGGCCGGGGCCAAGGTGGCAGGAGGAGAGTAGGACAGATCTCCAACCTCCCCTGTGCTGCTGCGCGATCCCCAACATGTCATTAACCGGGGCGTCAGACCTGCCTAAGCAGAGGAGTGACCTCCGTCCCAGGGCGCCCCCTGGCGGGGGCGGGGAACCTCCTATTGTCCCATAAAGGGGGGAGATATCTGGGATTTGCAAAGGGCGTTCTAGAATCCAGGGCAGAATTCCAGAAGGTGGGGTTGGATTCTGGGGGGCTTGCATGGCGGGCACAATACAGCCATTACACAGAGAGGACGGAGGTAAACTGAGGCTTAGGGGTCACACTGGCAGCAGAGTTGAGGGTCAGGATTTGCCCTCCCCCTTCCTCAGCCACTCTCTGGGTGTCGGGATACCATCCACTCCCACGGGATTTTCTGATTCATTTCTCTCTTAGGGCTCCTGGCCCTGACCCTGAGGTGAAAAATGTCACCTCCACTCCCATCTGTCTGACCTGAGGTAGTGTGGGAGATAAGGGAGGATAGAGGCTAATTCTGGAGGTGTGTGTCTGTCCTTGAAGCTGGGGGAGGGCAGGGCTTGGCACCTCCCTCCGCCCGACTCCCCCTTCTCTCCATCCCCATGAGTCACGTGAAGGGATTAAACAAGGGGTGGGGCAGGGGGTTCTGATGAGAGAGGGAAGAACTTCCTAATGTCTGGGCTTGAAGGGCATTTGGTGGTAGCCTGAGATGAAATAAAAAATAATAACTGTGGCTGCCAAGACAGAGCTCACAGCGTGCCAGGCTCAGGGCTGGCAGGTAATGGATGGTTCCCATTGTCTACAGAGGTCTCCGGCAACTGCCCAAAGGTCTCACTTCCATTGAGGTTTGCTGAGCCCAGCCCAGGGAATGACTTATTTCTAGTCCAATGGGGAAACTGAGGCTGGAGTGCGGGCACAACGCACACCCTAGGCTTTTGCCACTTTCTGTCTGGAATCTTCCAGGGATTCCTATGCCCTGGAATGGGCCAGCACTGGGGATGGCTAGAACTCAGGAAAGCAGGGGAGAATTTAGCATTCTGAGATCCAAGGGCTGAAGTCAAGATTCCAGGGGTTAAAGCTCAGGGCTTTTAGAATCTCAGAAAGATTTGAAAGGGCTGTTTTGGAGGAAAAAAATTACTTTGGCTTTGAGCCCTCAGTCTGTTCCAGGCCTGGGAATTAGGAATCTTATACGTGTGAACTTTATTTTGTACCCTTCCCTGTTCTAAACTCTATACATAAATTATGTCATTCAAACCTCACACTTCTTTGAGGTGAAGGTGTTAATTCCCCCATTATACACACAAGGAAACTGAGGCACAGAGAAGCTAAATAGCCGAAGGTAGAGATTTAAAGAGGGGGAAGGTCCTAGCTCATTCCGCAGACGTCCACAGAGGGGGGAAACCAAGTCCCAGACAGGGTGGAGCCTCTCGCAACGTCTGTCTATCTGGACAGAGCTGGGGGATTCCAATCTGGGTATTCCCAAACCAGCCTGGCGCTCTGACCCTGTTCCTACTCAGGATGATTCCTCCAGGAACCCCCCACCCCTGATTTTTTATTTTTTTTATTTTTTTTATTTTTTTCACCCCTGATTTTTAACCCCAAAGAACCTGGCTGGGGTGCAGAAGATGCCGGGGAGGGAGACCTAAGGGCGGAGGAGAGGGGAGCCCGGCGGAGAGGACGTGGGGGTGGAGGACAGGGGCCTGGAGCAGAGGCGCGGCCCGCGCCACCCTTGACCCCCCGCCGGGCCCCCGCTCCCCTGCCGCGGGAGGCGCGGCACCTGCCCGGGCCCTCCGCGCATTCCCCTGCTCTGAGCTCAGGAGCTGTCCGTCCGCCCCGCTGCGGTCGGGCCGTGACCTGGAGCGTCCCCTGGCGGCCCTGACGCCTGTTTCGCCCGCCTCAGACCCGGGACGGGCCCACGCCTAGCCTTGGCATTTCCTTAGACCCAGAGGATGTCAGCGTCTTAGAATTTGGGGATCATGAAATCCCCAAAAGAACCATTCGCTACCAGAATGCTGGCCCTGGAGGTAGCATAGACTGTTCATTTTTATATTTTAACGAACACAGATGGTTTCCTGTGTATCTCTGAGATTCTAATGTGGGGTCTTACCTGGACCAGGGATCGAACTCTGTGCCCCCTGCAGTGAGAGCTCAATCTTAACCACTGCACCGCCAGGGAAGTCCCCTATAGTCTCTACTTGTTGAGGCCTCAATTCTCAGAGCCTTGATTCCTCTTGCACCTTCTGGCCAGTTGGATCGTCACAACTGTCCTCTGAGGTAGACTGCTATTTATCCTCATTTTACAGATCAGGAAACTGAGGCAGTCTGGTCAGGTGGGACAGTGGTGCCACCAGATTTGAACCCTCCTTAATTGTGCTTTTAGCAACTCCACTATACCAGACATTCACCTAGACTTTTAGGACTTTGGAATCCTGGGATAGATAGAACTCAGTGCAGGAAGACAGAGAAATCTAGGCTAGCCAAAGGGGAGAATTCTAGAATGTTCCAAAGATAGAATCTGGGACTGAGAACTTTCAAACAATAGACTCTCAAGCCGAGGGTTTTAGCCTCTATCGAAATTTAATTACAACCTCAAGGCCCTTATAATTTCAGAATCTAGGCCTCTTAGAGATTGAGGAGGCCTCTCAGAATAGCTGATTTGCCTCCTCCTTTCACAATTGGGGAAACTAAGGCCCAAGGAGTGGAGGGGACTCTTAGCCCAAGGTCACACAATCCTAACACACCCAGATGAGCCACCAGCCCCAACAGGTTCTGTTCCGAGGCTTCCCAGACTGAGGCCAGAATCAGCATGCCCCAGCCTGCCCTGCTGCCCACGCC